ACTGAAAGCGAATCTTATCTGCATCGTGTGGATGTGACCCCAATTACAGGGAATCTCGGATTCCCGCCGAGATTCGCACCGCGTGGCGAGTCCAACCTGGGATTTTTTACCACAGGTGCACGTTGGGAGGTGTATTTTTGGCGCGGCGCCTCACACCATTGGGCCGTGTCACTGCAGCATCAACTCTTGGCCAATCCGAACGTGGGCTGGCTATTGTGCTGGAGGGCTGGCAAGGTTCATGGCCCATTGCCATCACCTGCGACGCGTTAGGAACGGGCAGTGCTGGCAAGCACTCTGCCATCCTTCCAACCGTCAAGGCTTCCACGCCGCCCAGCCCATGCACCGTTCGCGCCATCAACCCCTTTCTTCTCCAACCTTTGCATCCGTAGCTAGGTTTGCCCCTTTCTTCCTAGTGTACCAAGAGTCAGCCAGCCGTGGCTTCGTCTTTGCCTGTGCAGTCCCCCGCATCTGCTCTGCACGCGTTACTAGCTTAGAGGGGAGGGCGTCCCCGCTGCTTACCATGTTAGAACCGCCTGACGGCACGGAAACAAGCGGCGAACAGGGTGATGATTCGCACCGCCAGCCGCAAGTAGTCCGTTCTGATGCAGTTACCGGCCTTGATTTATTATTTTCTAGCATAGCGGAAGTAGCCCACACCGAGAAGCCACGAGAACAAGATCCGCCCGACAAAATCCCGTTTGAGCACATCGATCCGGAGGACTGGTGTGCATCCCCGACAGCGCCAGTCACGGAGCAGGACAGCTCGCCGCCTCCAGCTGGAAAACCGACTCCCGAAGCCGTTAGCAAAAAATCAGGCCGCTATCTGCAGTCAACGATACCCTGGTTGACAAAGGGTGTTGACGACGGTGCAACCACGCCTCCGCCAGCCGACCAACGATCGTCGCCCGTGATTGCCGGCCCGCAGGAGGCGCCTTCGGTTCCTGGTCCCTCTAAGCAATTTTCCCGTGATTCGATTTACGCCGAGTCTCTGTATAAGTACAAAACCGAGTGGCTAGACAGGTTTTCATGGCTCATCCTCTTGCGGCAAAGTGATGGTCTCCCAGCATTCAAATGCTCTATTTGTACCGAGCATGCAGGTTACGCAGGAAAGTGCGGGAGGGGTGGAAGGGGTGCCTCGGACGTTCAGACTCAAGCTTTCAAGCGACACGCAGCTACCACGAAGCACAAGGAGGCGGTCAAGCACCAGGAGAAGCTTCTTGCTGAAGCTGGCCGGCAGCCACGGATCAACGCTGACAACCTCGCTCGCGACACCGAGAGGGAGCGCGTCATCGAGCTGTGCGACTCCCTGCTCTTCGTTACCAAGCAAGATGCACCCATTGAGTTATGGGTGCAACTTGTTCGGTATCTCGGCGCGAAGAAGGTTCCGGGATTCCCTGCGAAAGGTTACGGAACCTACTACACAACGTAAGGTACTAGGTGTTACCTTGTGCTTGTGTTGTTGCTCTTATATTCTCTATTTTGTAATGTCTAACATTGACTAACCTTGCGCGCAGGTACGGATTTGGGCAACTAACACAAGCGATTGCCACGTGGTTGCACACAACTCAACTCCAGCACCTCCTTACAAGCCCTTTCATCGGTGTTACCTGTGACGAGAGCACGGACAGGTGCAGGGGAAAGCACTTGATCATTTTCGCGACGTTCATCCGTGAGAATCGCGTCGTCACTGAATTCCTTGCGTTGCTGACCGTGGAGAAGTGCGACGCCGCCTCTCTCCTCGCAGTGTTTCTGTCCCACCTGCAGGCCCTCGGCATCGAGCTTGGCAAGATCGTTGGAATGAGCACCGATGGCGCGAGTGTGATGATGGGACACAAGAATGGTCTTGTCGCTCGTCTGCGCATCCGCATACCGCATCTCGTCTCAAGCCACTGCGTTGCTCACAGGTACTTTCGACATAAGTACCCGCGGCACCCTTGCCTTTCCGAATCTCGTTCATGCTTACCCTAAACCCCACCGTGGCATGTTTGTCTTGTGTTGTGCCTGCAGGGAGGCCCTCGCGGCAAAAGATGCAGCGGAGGCAATCCCCGAGTTTGACATGGTGGACGGGCTGATCCGTCAAGTGGCCGAGTATCTCGGCCGTTCCAGCCCCTGGCACCAACGATTTCTGGAGCTCCAGGAACTCTTCACTGCTACGAACCTGGAGCTTCAAGGCATCCATCAAGTCCGCTGGCTGAGCAGGGGTGATGCCGTTTTGCGAACGGTGACGGTCTTCCCAGCGCTACTCGTCATGATGTACGAGTGGGACGAAACTCTGTACGAGCTCGCCACCAGCTACAGGTTCCATTTCTTGCTGTTCTTCCTTGCAGACGTGCTCGAGCAGCTGAACATCTTGAACAAGTCGTTCCAGCAGCGTGAGGTGAGCCACAAGTCCTCTCAAACTTTGCAGCAACTCTCTTGATTTCTACTTATAGTTTTCGTGTCAATTCGTCTCTTTAATGTGCCGTGTGTCTATGTCAATGCGTTGACATTGTTCCAGCTTAAGCAGAACATGCATTGATTGAACTATCACCCATCTGGCTGTCTTTCCTTTTGTCGCTCTGTGCATACTCTGTCCCCCTCTCATAGCTCGACATCGCAGGTGTCCATGCGCAGATCAGGAGAACCTTGTCTCACCTGGAGACCCGCTACGTCGACTGCGGTGACGATTTTGGAGGCGGGTTGAGCGCGCGCCTGTCCCCGTTCATCAAGAAGTACGGGCCTGACAGTGACAAGCCCGAGGTGACGGTGCAGGGTGTGGACTCTGACGGTCGTCCGACAACACACAAGTTCCATCTGCATGAGAAGCCAAGCGAGGACTACCCAACACTTGGAACACACGGCAACTGCGTCGACCTCTGCACCACTTTTGCCGAGACGCTCGTCAAAAACCTCAGCAACAGGTTTGCAGACTTGGACTCCCTTGTGGGAGTGAGGCTCTTCATGCCAGACGAGTACAGCACGGCGGGGAGAACGGAGCGCCACAAACAGTGTCTCGAGTGGCTCATGTCACTCGTCTCGCTGTTCAGGGCACAGGAGAGTGATCACATCCTTCCAGGTACACGCTTACTCTAAACCCGTGTTGTCCATTATGTCTCTTTGATAATATGGTTCAGCAGTGCTTTCTGTACACGGGTATACCATGCCACGCCATCCAAGCTAACTGACAACCCCCCTTCTGTGTTGTGTGGCAGGGATCGACAAACGGCGGGCGATCAAAGAACTGCGTGCCTTCTGCCCCATCCTCGCAGGTGCCCCGAAGAACGAGCGAAGCTTCCACGCCGGTCTAACAGCGATGCTGAAGACAAGTGACTGGACGACTAGCTACCCCAACCTCGTGCATCTCTGGGTGGCAGTCGCAGTGCTTCCGCTGAGCACAGTGGAATGTGAGCGCGGGTTTTCCCACCAGAATATCATCAAGTCATGGCAGCGTGGGAGCCTCAAAGACGCACGGCTTGAAGATCTCGTCACAATGTCGCTCCTCGACTACGAGCCCGACTACAACGAACTGGTGAACATCTGGCGCAGCTACAAGAAGCGCCGACCATTTGGAAATGTGGCAGCAGCAGCAGCAGCAGCAACACCTGCAGCAAGAGAGGGGGAGGGAAGTGGCAGGGGAAAGGAGGCACTTGAGGAGTGGGAAGAACCCAAGGTGCAGGGGAGTGATGATGAAGACTTTGATTCCGATGCTGAAGGACGCATGACCCCTATTAGATAAGAGCAGCTAGTCTGTTCTAGGTAGGAAGGAAGCTACTGTCTTCCTGTGCTTAAAACCAGGACGTTTAATAGCTACAGCTTTTTTAATTTTGAAACCCTGATGGATCAGACTCTAAATTAGGACAACACTGTCATTTCAGCCTTTTTTTCTTGGTAACACTGTCAATCAGTGTTTACACACAAGGGGACGGGACACTGATGGGTATACGACCCTTAAAGTGAATCTGAGGGCCTGGTTGGAACAGCAGGAGCCCGCTCGTGGTTGAGCGCCTACCGACTTTTCAAAGGCGACTGAGTGTTCCAAGTTCCCCTGGGTGAAGAAATTCCAAGACTTGGATTCGGAGGGGAATGGCAGCCTTAGGGCACTTGCGGAAAAGCACATATGCGCCAATGCGCGCTTCTTTTTAGGCACGCCAAAATCAACTTTCTCGTTGGATATTTTTAGGTTGAGAGTGCTGAATGGGAGGATGAGTGACGTGGATGCATTTTTGAGTGACAATCTGGCATGATTATGCATTTTGATGATCATAAGGGCCAAAAAGATGGTGGCAGATGCAACACTATCTGTGTGTAATACGGTAGCAATTATACACAATTCAATATAATACCGGTAGACTGACAATGTTGCAGCAGTAAGCAGTTATTGTGACATATACCCGTACCACCAGGCTTTTATTCCCATTGTTAATCCAACTACATGATTATGCTTCGTCGTCGTCACTCAAAAACGCATCTACGCCACTCATCCTCCTATGCAGCAATCTCAGCCTAAGAATATCATATGAGAAAGTCGACCTTCGTGTGCCTATAAAGAAGCGTGCATTAGCGCAGATGTGCTTCTCTGCAAGAGCCTTGAGACTACCATTTCCGTCTGAATCCAAGTCCAAGAATCTCTTCAACCAGGGGAACTGTGAATACTCCTCTGACTCCTTAACAAACTCCGGCATGCGCACCACCACAAGTGGGTTTCGGCTAACCGAACCTGAAGGATAGAAAACACAAGGAGATTCATCCAACAGAAAATGGAGTTAAAAAAGACAGGAAGGGGGGAAGGGAGGGGGGAGGGGGGGTGTGGGGGGGGGGGGAAAGGGGAGGTGAGACAGTAAAGGATGTGACTGACTAAAAAATGGCTCATGGCAAGGGATATCAGGGCGAAGAAATATTTGTGGTGCTGTTGAGGGAGGTGCGTAACCAGCACCTGTATTGACTTCCAAAAAAAAAAAAAACAGGGAGGTGTACTGGCCAAAATATAGGGTTCGGGGAGAATCTCTGGGGTACACACTCACCAAGGAAAAGCTGCTCCAGCAGTTGAATCTCGGATGGGCTGGCATCAGTGGCAAGGTATACCACAGACGCACCCGTATCTTTGAATCGCTCCATGATAAAGTGTGCTACTGTGACTATAGGAAGGAAGGTGTCGCGCTTCGTCTCGTCGTCACTGTTCTGAAACTTGGCAAAGTCGCTCCGCCTTAGATGCACCGCTGCATACTCCGAGCCCAGAAACGTGTCGATGAATCCGTTAGCGAAATTCTCTATAACGGGGGGAGGCTGCCAAATGTCCGCACAGGTGGTTTTGAATGGCGGAACCGCGCCTTCGATATGAAAAGGGAGGCCGCGCAGGCTTATGCTGAAGCAATCCCCGAGGCTGATGACAGGCGCGTCGTTATAGGCGAATGTGTGCAGAAAGGCGTTGACTTCCTTGGGTGTGGTGGGGTATTCGACTTTATCTGGCAGCGTGATCTGCGGATAGTGCTCCTTGACCTGTTCGGCAAGTGAAGGGGTTGGGGATGGGGATAGAGGTGAGTGTGGAAATGAGGACGGGCATTTCAAAAGAGGTAAGTGACAGAGGGGACAAGGGAGGCAGGCAGGAATGGTGGGAACGAGGATATGAGTTAAAGAAGAGGGATGTAGCAAGCAACAAGACTCGACGGTTGCATAAGCGGTCTACTAGTATGGTATTTGCCATGTAGATTGAATCAATCAACGAGCTGCGAAAAGGTGTGAGACGGCTGCTCACAATGGCCCAGTTGTAAAGACATGTGTGGTCCATAACACACGCGATGTGATCGATTGCCACGTCACGGCCCTCCCTCGCCACGTACTCCTCCACCGTAATAACAGTCTCGTTAGTACCATAAGCCGGCGCGAGGCACGCCCTCATTCTAGCCACATCCACGATATTGTCCCAGCGCCAGCAGAGAGTCGAGAAAGACACGCCGCAGCTCTCGGTCGGAATAACCAGCGTTCGCTGCAGGAGCGCGGCGATGATTATATAGTTCCGCAAGCACTTCTCCTGATTGGACAGCCGCCCGTACACGCAAAGCGCGACAAGGTACCGGTTCTTCTGAGGCGTCCAAGATTCGATCTTGCCCTGGAATGAATCAGGTTGCAGCGACAACGTGTACGGCGATTCGATTTTCTTCTGCTTTGGCTTGCCGTCGCTGTTATCCTTCACTCCACTGGCTATCTCTGCTAGAGTCCGTCTTTCTGCGTGCAACTCCCGGGGTACAGCACTATTTCTCGCCGCGTCCCCTGACGAGCTGGCGTTCCTGGTGGTAACCCTAATGCTGCGCTCGTCGTTTCGGCGTCGAGCGCTGTCGCTGTCACTGTCGCGGCGTTGGTCCGTTTGAGCATTTCTGCGACGTTGGTTCAGACGAGTCGTACGGCTGCTGCTACCACCGCCGCGACTCCCGCTTTCGCCGGTTCTTCCGCTTGCGTAGTTATACGCTGAAACAGCCTTTCCACGAAGCAGCAGCAGAAAATCCTTCAAATGCAGGGACTCTTCTTGCCGTGTCTGTGGTGTCCGGAGTGACGCTTCTCCGACAAATCCACTCCCAAGGCGGGTGCTTCCAGACGCGGCGCCGACTGCGGCGCAGTTGACGCTGAGAACGAGCAACAACGCGGCGACAAGTGCAGTGCATGAAATCCCCGCACCGGAAAGAGCTGGCGGCGCCAGCATTTCTTCGATCGTCGGATCCTTCTTCGGGCAGTTGTTCCGGTCCGCGACGGCATTGTGACGCGGCGGCTCTCAGCGAAAGAGAGTTCGTAGCGGGACGACTATCAGGAGAGATGATAAAGCCGTGGGGAAGCGTGGGGGAAAATCTGTGGGAGGAAGTGTTGAAGGTATCAACAACAAGTTTACGCTGCGTCCGTCTTTGTAATCTTTCGAAGTTGCCTGCTTGGTCCTGCTTGGTCCTGCTTGGTCCTACAAGCGTCTTCCGGTTGAGAAGCATTTCGATTTCGTAACAGGTGACTTATGAACAAATCGTCGTCGCTGTGCCCAGGTAATGCACGGTAATGGGGCATCGCACACATTCGCAGAAAGTCGCAATGCGGTCGCTTGTTAGGAAGTTGGTGATCGCCGCAACCCTCAGGAGCGCGGCTGCCAGCCAGAACAACGAGGCGCAGATTAGTCGAGAGAAGTACGACTCTACTTACGAAAGGTCTAGCTGCCGTCTGAAGATGGGCATTCCTTTACATGGTCCATGGCTGAGAGAGTTCTCATTGATTGCGTACTGTGAGCTTCAAGCACAGAAGTTCGTGCCACAAAAACCACTGCACTCGACACCACCGTGCACCACCGTATTTGGGGCCATGGGTTGGATTTTGTGGGATGGGATGGGATGTGTGGGGTTTGCATGTCTCATCGGTATGAGATGTACGGTGCGGTGCGGTGGTGGATGAGTTGTAGGTATGGAGTGTGGAGCGGTGGTGCATGTGTAGGTATGGAATTTCTGGTGCGGTGGTGCGCGGTGGTGGTCGTGGCTGCAGTGGTGCGTGGTGGTGGTCGTGGCTGCAGTGGTTTTGGTGGCGAGTCAGTACAAACTTCTGTTGCTGCAGCACATGCTTGCAGTACCGTATGCAAAATTGGAATTCAGGAGGGCCGTATGCGTGTAGTGTACGGTACGGTACTCCCCCCCCCCCAAACCCCAACCACAAAGCGTACTGCCTATTCTTGACGGCAGCCCGCTAGGCATGCTCACATGTGGCATTCTAAGTCACGCCTCTCGATTACCCTGCGCCTCGTCGTTCTCGGCGGCAGCAGCGCTCATGCTGGCTGCGACGATTTTTAGTGAGGAGGATTCTTCAGGTTGTTTTTGTTGAGATTGCACTGACCCTGCAGAGGGTCGTCGTGTTCTGCAGGGACGCAAAAGTCTCCCGAAGCGGAAATTTGCGGAGGACAGGGTGGAGCTCTGCACTGCAGCAGAAGGACTTCGCAGAAGCGGAAATCTGCAGAGGATCGTGGTGCTGCAAAGGAGGGCGAATCTGCAGGGCAGATTTCGGAGCTGCAGGAGAAGGCACATCTGCAGAGATTTCGGAGCTGCAGAAGAAGGCGCGTCTGCAGAAACGAAATTCTGCAGAAGACCACAATCTCAACCGGCGAACCCTTCCGACGCGAAAACGCGATCGTTTCGGAACTTTTGCTTGGGAATTTCGAGAGAACTGCCGCGGCGCGGGCTTTGCCCTCGTGATTTTTTTTCATCGCGGTCTATTTTTTGTATACCCAGTAGCGACGCGGATACACCTTCTATTCCGAGCGGTACGCGCTCCCGAGATTTCGCTTCAATTGAGTCGTGTACGTGTAAGTGTACGGTCATCTCGGAAGTTTTTGGAATGAACCCAACCGCGAGCGTCCAAAATTGTGGGAACCAAACCAGTGTAGTGCTGGCTTGCCAAGCCTACGTGTGGCTTTTCAACGTTTAGGCTCGACACCGACGGGGCAGCTACCAAAGCCGCAACGCGAGCATGGTATAACACTAGACACGTCAGAATTGGCAAAATCAAATCCAGCTCAGAATGGAACCAATCGTAGTGTCACAAGTTACCATATCGATCGATAACAACTCGAGGTTAAAAAACGAGTGTCGATGAACAACGACATCCGTTAATATATAAGATCAAAATGAATGGATAATACAAATAGAATTGTAAAAGACTTTACTTCTGCTAAATAATATTGGTATATGTTAATAGCTAGTTTCTTCACTGTTCTAATGCATGTTTTTTTCTTGTGAAGTATTTAAACAAAGTAATGAAGACAAAATAAAGTATCATTCTGACTATCAAACAATTATTGAATTATACTATCAAATGTCTAGGGTTTATACATATTTTTGTTACCGAAGATATATAATGGCAATGAGGAACGTAGAACGAGAATGAATGACTAAGGAATGGAAATGATGCAAATATGCAACCCTAGAAATGTGTACCCCATATAGGCTACCCCACTATAGTCTACACAATATTATAATTTGACACACCCCCACAGGCAAAGTTGGGGAGAACAAGGGGTCACAAGACCAGTCAAGCAAAGCAAAGCAAAGCTCAGGGTGGATCACAACGTCACCACACAGTCCGAGCACAAGGTTAAGGCCACAAGGCCAGTTCACATGCAGGAGTACACATATATATAAGTCTAAACAACCAAGAACAGGTATATATATATATATATATATGTATATATATATATGTAAGAGTACAAGCAAGGTCAAGGGGTGAGCAAGTGAGGCAAGACAAACACAAGACCCAGCTGAGTGTAGAAACACTGATGATCACAAGGCGGAAGTGCCTTGGTGAAAACATCAGCAGTGTTGGCCTCGGAGGCCACGTACGCAAGCCGCAACTGACCACGCTGCTGTAGCTCTCGAGCGAGGAAGTAGCGAAGAGCAATGTGCTTTGTTCTGTGCTCCAGTCTCTGCTCTCGACACAAGGCCAGCATGGCCTTGTTGTCTACGTACAGGACTAGAGGAGAACGAGGCGGCTCTCCAAGGTCGGTCAGTAGGTAGGTGAGCCAGCGAAGCTCCTCTGCAGCCATGGCCCCGGCGTAGATCTCAGCCTCACAACTGGAGCCGACAACAGAAGACCAGCGAGTGACCCACCACGAAACAGAGCCGGAACCAAGGCTGAAGGTGTAATCCTGTGACGACCGCTGCGTAGCCTGGTCGTCAGCCCAAGAAGCGTCCACGTGCCCAGTGAGGACCACTGGACTCCGCCCTCCAAGCACCAGCCCCATGCCCGACGTACTGCACAAGTAGTGCAACACCCTCTTCGCTACAGCCATGTGCTCTGGTCTGTGTCTCCCAGGAGCAACATAGCGTGCAAGAATGCTAAGAGGGTATGCAAGGTCAGATCGTGTGCAGATCATCAGGTACATGAGGCAGCCAACAAGCTCTGCATACGGACCACTCGACTCTACGGACTCATCCGAAGGCAGAGCTGAGAGTGAGTGGCGAGTAGGCAGAGGAGTGGCCTGAGGCGAGGAGTACGTGAAGCCGAAGCGCTGAAGGACCTGCTGCACCATGTGTGACTGAGTCAGGGTAATGGTGCGGCGTGCTCTGTCCCGGGTGATCTGCAAGCCAAGGTAGCTGCGCAGCTCACCCAGGTCTGTGCACGTGTGTCTCTTCTGCAACTCGGACTTCACGTGGGCGAGTCTAGCAGTGTCAGTAGTGGCAAAGACCAAGTCGTCGACGTACACGAGGATGTAGAACGGCGGCAGAGAGGTGTCGGTGCGCAAAAACAGTGACGGGTCAGCAGTAGAGGGAGCAAACCCAAGAGCCGTAAGTGTAGTCCTCAGTGTGTCGTGCCACTCGCGCGGTGTCTGGCGGAGACCGTAGACAGGCAGTCGGAGGCTCCACTGGGTGCCAGGAGGGAAAGTCCCAGTGAAGCTAGGTGGATGGCGCAGCCAGATCTCCTCGTGCAGGCTACCCTGCAGGAAAGCATTGCCGAAGTCAAGGGAGTGAAGCTCGTAGTCACGCTGA